CATTTGAATAATATATTCGCAGCTAAAGATTTTTGAAGGTCATTGTTTATTTATTTCTCATGCATCTTTCTGGGTCTTCAACTTGATCTTCGCCTTCGTGTGTTTTTATTACTCTCGAGATCCACAATCTCTCGTTTGGCTGGCCATTCTAAATGGTTTATTAATTTTTATGGCCCGTGATTCGATGACTTTGAAGTGGGCCAGCATGGATCGCAAACCCACATCACCTTAACGTTTGTACAAGCATTAAATGTTTATTAATTATATCATAAATAGCCATGCCGTTTTGTAAACAATTAAGCGTAAGCCGAATGTCTGCCAGAAATCCCAACAAGTTGGTCAAAACTAATGGCGTTTCGGCTGACGCTTCACTGAAATGCCCATCTAATGAGTCACTTGGGGCACTCGAAAACAATCCACGAAATTCTCCACGCCAAGTAAATGCCAAATAGTTATACAGTATCCGGTGTGCCGGCTTTAGGCTAATAAAATGTCAATTAGGGATTTCTCGATTCACTCTCCTTCGATGACGTCCGCAGGCAGCCTTGTGAAGGTCGTCGATCAACAGCTTTTTAGTAACCGTATCACACGAGGCGAAATGTGAATCACATATTCGCGAATTTCGTATGCAGCCAGCGAGATTGTCACAACAGCCCTGAGCCACCGAGCGAACACTTTGCATGGGAGAGTGCCAAAAAAACAACAATAAACCATAAATTGTTGCATAAATCTCGGACGGCTTCCTGTGTGAAAAACTTTCACATGCCATTCGCCAGAAGGCATCATATTTATTATAATTATTATTGAGCCTGGTGTCATGTTATACATGCATCAATTTAATGGTTTTTGACTCGCCAAAAAGCAGAGTGTTTGCCCAATTCGTGAGAAGATCTTCACTCCGAAGTCATGGTCATGGTCAGGTTGGGAACGGACTGATTGACTGTCCAGAGTGTCAACGACTTGGATAAAATATTGAAAGTATTTTTAATAATTTAAATGTATTTTTTGAGATTTGAAGCTTTTGTACATTCGATTATTTAATGTCCTAATAATTATTCAGTTGACAAAAAATTTGCTCTCAAATTATGTTTACAATTTAAGTTTGCATAAATGAATTTAGGCAGTTAAAGCTAAATACACATATTTTCTTTAAATTTAACCATAAAGTCCCTTCAAGATATTATTCACATTTAAGGGGTTCCAAAAAATGTAAATTTGGTACATAAACAAAAAGAAATTACTACATAAAACGTATTACCAATGAAAACAATAAAAACTGAATCTTCTTGCTGACATAAAATATAAATGTATGATTTGATAGCTCATAAATAGGACAGTTAAGCTACTTATTTCATTCTTAATTTCAATTTATGATTTTTTAACAAAAGCTAGGGAATTTCTCATGAAACTCTTGAGCTTTACCGAAAGGGGCAACAATATAAATTCAGTGTCGCAAAGAATTCCCAGGGCAGGGCCTTGAGTCACATATCGGAAGCCCCTATATATATGTACGATTATTCAAAGAAATGCTTTTAAAGCCAAGTTAAATCCCGGCAGGGAGGATTATACTTGCATATGATGTCATGTCTTCGAAATGTATTTCTTCGGTTATTTTTTGAGCTTAAGCTTGGCTTGGTCTTGTGCTTTCGGCCCGTCTTTATCGGCATCTGGCTATCGTTTCAGCCGGCGCAGCGGCCTGTTTGAACGCATTTCATTATAGTGTGTATATATATAACGTATATCTGAATATATGGTGTTTATGTGCAGGTCCCGGGAATATTATATGGCGCTGTAGTTGTCTGAGCGGTGTCTGCATTCACAACCGGTGTGGCTGTCTCGGCACCGGCTCGCCTTTTGTTTGTTTTATGTGCACGAGCCATATATACTTCATATGTGGTATAGCCTCTCTCGGCCTCAGCGTGTCTGCATTTAAATCCATCTCGGGTATATATTACATTTGCTTTACTTTTACTTTCATATGCAACTGGTTGGTGGTAGGAAGTGAGGTGCCAGCACCACAACGTGTGTCGTTTCTCTCAGTGTGCGCGCAATGAAAACGGTTTGTAAAGTGATTGTCAATCATTTTTGGTGGCATGTCGCCAAACCGCTTTGACAATAAACAGCAGCAAGACCAACAGCAACTCTGGCCACAATGGCAGCTGCTACACATTTTTTGTTTGGGTTTTGGCCACGTTCGTTGCCCATATGATTTCTCTGTACTTGTGTGTTTGCTCAATTGAGTGGTATTTATGCTTGTACTATATTGCGAAAGATATCAATTGTTTATAGTTTAAAGTCTACTAAAGGTGTAATTATACCTTGGGTTAGGATCTAAATAAATATAGACTATCCCGTAACCTAATTTCGATTCCCATACATTAATGACTAAGCCGCACACTTGGCTTATTTATCACCCTACCTGCTTTGATTTATTTGACTTTAATCACCCAATAATAAACAATCAAATTAAGAGCGAAACAAACAAAGAGACCGAGTTGGAAGCCAAAAATATTGACGTAATATTTGGCTTCGGTGCAAACCAAATTGGTTAAATGCTATTTTTGGTTGAACAAATAAGAAAAACTAAGCCAATTTAAAACGCACCGACTTCGTTTCGGTGTCTTTTGAAACAGACCCGAATCGAGATTAACTCGACTAAGAGATCTCGGCTGGTTTCATGGCCTCTCCGTTTTGGCCAACTCTCCTTTAATTTTATCATGAAATTTTCATGTGTAACGCGAATGAAGACATTACAATCCACAGAAACAGAAAAACAAAAAATTTGAGAAAATGAGAAAAACTTGGCCTCTCCCATGTAACCATGCGATGGCATCCAAAAAATTCATTTTTCGCGTTTTTATATAATGTGGAAATGGCTCTTTGCTTTTGATTTGGCATTTTCGCTAATTTCGAATATAATTTCGAGTTTCTATGTAGATTGCACTCTTAATTAAGGCAATTATTATTGAACAACTTTCGCTGCTCTTCGTCTCCGATCAGTTGCATGCGAGTGGCTAAAACAAATCACACAGGTATCAGGTTTACCTGGTCCAATGACGGAGTGGAGCGAGGAAGTGGGTGCTTACGTCTATGGCTTTTTGTGATACCAAATGGGTTTATATATCTCTTTGATGAAGATGCCCTGAAAGTGGGTAAATTTTTGATAATTATATGTTTACAAAACTTACCTTAGGCTTTTTCGTGGGAAAGTGATTGGTGGAAAAATGTGTTAACAATTATTTGAGATGTAATTGTTGCTAAAGTACCATTTTAATAAGATAAATAATTACCAATTGCTTAGTTACGATTTTATTACAAAATTAAGATATATTTGTAGCTTCTTCGGGAAACTCGATTGAGTTTGCTTTTATTAGAAGGGACTTTTAATGCACGAAATGATCAAAGCCCAACTGCGACTCAAAAACTGCAATCATAAACTGAAGTTGCATTATTATTATTATTATTATCTTTTCTTATTGTTTGTTTTTTATATTATTCTGTGGCAGTAGCAGCCGCTCAATGACAGTGCGATAAGCCGAGGAAAAACACAAAAAAAAAACAGAAAGACAATGCAACTTTGGCAGTGTTTAAGCAACACCAAAGCGCATTTTTGCATTATTCTTTCATGTTTGCATTTCAATGCGAGTATCTATATGCAACCGCAGGGTAACAAAGAAACGAATCTCTTTGCACATTTGATACTTTTTGACATCTGCAAGTCGCGTTGAGTTGGTTTTGATTTTATTTGATTTTCGGATCACTGCGAACACACAGAACACACTTCCTCTGACTGACAGTTGGCCAACTCATGGCATTGATGTGTGCTGACGGTTTCTGGGCGCGTCTTCGAGCCGAGCCAGTGAATTGATATTTGCATCGATGGCATTTGATCGGTGATCGGTGGAATTATTATTTTGGGGAGCAGCTTTACAGATAAGGCTTTTGGCTCGGTCATGTGGGTTCACAGATGGAATTTAATCGAGGGTTTTGATTGATTATCTGGCTGATTTATCAAGTGGAAGCTGTGACCCTATTTGCATGTTGCTTAGTTTTTATAAGGGATATGGGAATCTCTGGTGAGCATTCTAGATGAATAAAAAAGGGTTATCTTAGGCAAATATTTTTAGAAAATATATGTTTGCTATAATGTTATACATTTTCAGAAGCTTGTGGTGTTTTGAGTATCATTATTTTATCTTTTAAAGACCTATTTTCATTTAGAGTTTTTATTTTGACTGGTGGGAAGTTAGGGTCAATCCTCTTTTTAGGCATCTGCAACTTTAATGGCTCTTTGTAATATTTATAAAATTCAGCTGCCATTATAACGGTCTCAAAATAAGCCAAAAGTAAAGCCTTTAAGCCTTCTTAAACAACCCTGGCACCCAACATGTAATCCCCCTCGACCTTTGTGATCTTTCAGCAAGAATCGGAAGAAGAAAGAAACCAAAACCAAAGCCAAAACCAAATCGTAGGCGTAATCGAAACAATGAGTGCTAAGTTGGCTTGGGTTTTTCCAGTTCCTCAATGGGATTGAGTTTTTCCCCTGCCAATTGGACAGTTCAAATAGTTTGCTGAGTTCACTTGTCAAGGAATTGACAATGCAGCTGCCTTGCCTTGGTTTGCCTTGCCAAAACTAAAACTAGAAAACTAGAAAAAAAGAAGTAGAGTCTTGTGTATGCATCATGGTCGTCTGTCTCTGTTTCTGATCCAACTACTTCTGGAGAGGGCCGCACGGAAACCCACACCCACATACATATAGCCTAGACACACCTGAGTGTGGGTGAGAGCGAGCATTCAACTGGGTATTATGTCAAGCTCTTGCTCTGCTCTCTCACCTGTTGCGCTGTTGCTGCTCAGCTGACGCTTATGAGAGGAGAGATGGAGAGGAAACCCACCTAGAAACCAGTTACGTTGCCTGGGCCTGTGCCTCCGACTGTGGTGAGTTGGCCTCCCGCAGAGATCCAAGCCGTTGGAGAGATCAGTTCGTGGTCGTGCCTGAGACGGAGCGGTTGGCCCGTGTGTGTGCTGTTGTTACCAAAGTATCCGCATAACGTGGCCAGATAAGAAGATATTACCTTTTTCTTGCCGGGTTGGTGCTAATCTCCGTTTAACGAGTGCTTGTGTGCGTGTCTGTGTGTTTGATTTATGCAAATCTCCAGCTTTCTTATTGAACAAACACAAGATGTGGAAGTGAAATACTCGGCGATCGGGAAGAAAAGAGAACCACAGTCAAAAAACATTCCATTGAAAATACCAAAAACGAGTTTTCTCGCCTCGTCTCTTGCTCTCCTCTCCAGTCGCTGTTATTTGCTTTCTGCCATTTGCCATTTCTACATAAAAGGAGTGAGAGTGAAATGTGAAATGTCAGTGCAAATAGCCGCTGACTTTTACAATGACGTCACTAGCCTGAATAATACTGCTCAAATGTGAATATAGAAATGTATACAAAAATTAATTGCGGCAGGCCTTTGCCCGCTGTCTAATTGCCTTCGAGCTAACTTGGCCAAAAAGGCTGCGGAGCGCATTCTGCGGTCTGCAGCCGTTTCCAGTTGCTGCTGCCGTTGGAACCGGTTCAAATATTTTCGCTATTGCAATTTGGGTCTAAGGTTTTTTGCTGCCGCCGTTGCATTATGGCGCATTGCATGAGCAGCGACTGCCTGGCATACACACTGCACTGCGGTGCCCATAGTACACATAGATCTCATTCCTAGAGCCCCTCGATCCGCAGTGGCCTTTGTTGTGGCTGGTTTATTTGCCTAGTTTCTTGGCTGAATGGTGAGAAGTAAACAGAAACAGAGTGCTTTTGCTGCTGCTGCTGAAACTCCCAAAAACGAAAGATATTTATGAGCTGCTCTCGGGCTGGGCTCCAGTGGGTTGTAGCTTCAAATTAAATATGCTAAATAGGATTTTCATATCGTAAATTGTATCTTCAGGGATTTGGGAAAGTCTAGAGCGTAAGGCTCAGAGGCCCAAAACAAAAGACTTGGACAACGAACTTGCGCAACAACTTACGCGGAAGTTTTGCATTTTGAAACTAGAGAGATTTATTTTCATTTCATATTTAAATATTTGTTAAATCAAAAAGAAGTAGAAATCATAAAAAATGAGTAGTAAAATCATTAAGAATTGTTCTGCTGCCATTTTCATAACTATTTTTTGACATTTAAATAAAATTAATAGGGTTTTTCTTAATCTATTTCCCTGTAACTCATTTTGAACTTGGAACAGGCATTCAGAAGTTAGACATTCTAATCTATTTGTAGCAAAGTCACAAAAACTTCTCCCAGTTCAGCAACAACTTTTCTACCTAGTGAGCTAACAAATCGCTCAACAAATCGACAACTGGCAAAATACAGGCACTTGACACTTGAGAGATCATTATTCAACCGACTTTCAACGGAAATGACAGCATTTGGGGTTACCAAACCGAACCAATGACAAGTCACAGAAACCGCTGTGCCAAACAAATGTCGTGTGAACTTAGCTAACCGCAAAGGAAAGCCGAAAAGAGAAAACTTACCAACAAGCCGAGTGAACAAAAGTCAATAATGAGCTATCGAGAGACCCTTGAAGATTCGAACGTATTTGTAATTAATTTAATTCCGCATTTACAGAAGATTACTTTAAGTTAACAACCATAACAAGTGCAAACGTGTGAGAAAAACCTTAAATCAAAGCAGGAGAAAAACCAAAAAAAAAAAAAGGAAGAGAAAAGCTAACCAAAATGCAAACGTGTAGAAGGAGAAAAGCCGGAGGCCATTCAGCCTCCGCGATCCCGTGGAGGAGCCTCTGCGTGGCCACTCTCTGTGGACTGCTGCTGCTCGGCATTCAAATTGAGCAAGCGGCGTCTGCGCCCGCAGGCGAGGATTCGGCGGCAGATACAACAGCAGTGCCAGTGCTAGATGCCACAACAGATGCACCAACCACATCCACCTCATCCACAACAATTGCCGTAGAACAAAGCAGCAGCAACAGCACTGAGGCAGCGGATGGTTCAACGACTTCCACGACGACGACGACAACAACAACTGAGGCGGCCAACATATCGAGTCCGTCCGAAACCGAAGCTGGTAAGTCTGAAAAAGCCCAAAAGCCATGAAAATTATAGATGCCGGTTAAACGCGACGACGCTCCCCTAGACGAGAGCCATCTCATCCCAAGCTCTTGCCAGACACTTTAATCTCACCTCTCAGCCGCAATCAAATCTCGGTCTCTGGCTCTTACCCTGGCTCAGAGCCACCAATTAACGCCGTGCCGGTGCGTGACTTCTGGGCCGCCCTTTTTAGCCATTCCGTTTCGATTTGTAAGCCATTTCTCCATAATTATTTTCCGATTCGGTTAAATGGAGCGCACAAAAGAAATTTTCGTTTGGATTAATGACTGGAAGAATCTTTTTGGAGTAAGAGGAACATATATTTGTATATGAGTTATTTCCTGTTGAATTACTTAGTTAATTGACCGGTATATCAAAGTGAAAATCTGTTAAGTGTGCCCTCTAGGTTATATGTAGTTAAGGAAAAGCTTCCTTAGGGAAAATTATAATTTATTCAATTTATAGAGGAACATTGTAGACATAGTTAAATAAGACCAGAGTAAGCTAGAAGGTTCTTATATTCTCCGATTAAAGTAATTGAATTTCTTTTAAACATGATAAAAATTTGTTAGCTTGAGCCTGAGAACTGGGTTTAGCTTATATTTTCATTAATTTATCAGAGTGAAGCTATCTTACTTTTTCTTTATGTCATGAGGTTAGGCTGTATTCTTTTACTTTTAGACTTAATAAAATGGGTTGTTTTTATTTCAGTTTATTTATCTAAATTAAGCTTTCCTTTCCTCTAAGAAAATTGCAGACACAATGCAAATAAAAATCATTTTTAATTAGATATTAAAATTTGTCCTAGTGGAGAGAAATTAATCTTGTAATTACTTAGAACATTCCAACATGCTGCTGATCATCTGAGACTTTCCTGCACGTGCTATATCTCTTTAATGAACATCTTCAGTGCAAAAGTGAAAGGTTGTTCATTGTTCGGTGTTTTGTCAAATCGAGTTTTGTTCAAGAAAAAAATTAGGTTGCCAGTTTAATGACCGAGTTCTTGGCTGTTTTATGATAAGCCCCGACTCTTCATGTTTTGGCTTTAATGTCAGCTGCACATCAAAAGCTTCGCATTGCAGGCTGGCTCGTAAAACTACAATTTGTCTTGTTTTCGTTGTCTTGTTACCCTTTCAATGATGACTCGATAAAATGGAGCCTAGCAGGGGCCACACACAGTCCAGATCAATAGTTGGTTACAAAAATTGGTAAAGGGTTAGGGAATGTGTATTGTAATAAAGGGGACTGGCTGCTATAAATGCCATGGGGAAGTTAACGAGATCTATCTTAGCTTAGCCCTCACAAATTACTCAATTTAAATGCAAAGCAGACACAGACATGACTCATGCCCTTAACCTACGTACCCCGAAACATTTTGTGTGAGCCTCGGGTAATTTTGGGAGTTGGCATTTTAACGCCAACGTGGAATGTCTTTTACGAATAGATGTACCTAGAAAATTAGCAAGAAATAATAAATAGCAATTAGTCATTGGATAGATTTGACAGATGAAACACCCACAGTCGAAGACACCACACCTGATGCCTGAGTACATTTAAATATGGGAATCTTGTCAATGGAGCTGTTAATTAATTAGGCGGCAAGTGGGCAGCAAGGGGACTTGTTTTTTTTTTGGATTATGTAATTAAAACAAATACATATATTTACAAATCAATAATTGAGCAAGACTTTAGACAGTTGACAAACGGGTTTGGGCTATAGTTCAAGCAACTGAAACGAGTCTTTAAACCGTCAGCGTTTTTACAAATATAGAAACTACACTCCATGTGAACTTTGGTAGATTATACGACTTCTTAATTGGCTTTTCATAATGACTTTTTCCAATCAAAATTCAATATCACTTAAAGCTCAATGTCTGGGGAATATCCCGGTTTTATAGACCTTTTTTTCACCGCATGACAGCCAACTTGTTTTGTGGAAAACCCACGGCCAAAAGAAACACTCAGAGGCCAGCTAAATTCAACAAACTAACACTAATGAGTTGGAAAATTGCACACCGCAGCTGGCTGTTGTTGTACTTGAAAGTCGAGTACGTAAATCATTTATGTTAATTTCCCATTTTGCGGCCCCAAACGAGTGCTAAATTATGGCCTTGATATGACGCGGTTAGAAAAAAAAAAGGTATATATTTGTATCGCAGTGCAGAAAAAATCCTCTTGAGTAATTTTCAATGCGTTGGCATTGCAAGTCAGGGACTGACTGCACTTAATGGCTTGCCAAAAATAAATAAATATATATATTTCCATGAGGTCTCTTGCACAATTGGCACGCATCACGAAATCTATAAAATTCAATAACGTAAATAACACGAGTCCCAAGTAACGACCTCAATTAACGAACAACATGTCTCGTCTCACTTTCTTAAAGGGAAAACCTATAGCAAGCAGCGTTAAAGTGGTTGAAAAAATAATAATATATATATGAAAAATGGAAAAAGACAGAGTGACCTGCTATTATGCCAACTTGTTGATTGTTTATTATTTTTACAAATCATAGCAAAAGTGAAATTTACATATTTGTGGCACGATTGTCGTGAGTTTTTCGGTATCATCTCAGCCTGTGAGAAGCTGGTGGCTTTTCGAATGTTCAGGGATGACAAGTTAACATTTATGCGAAAATAAAACATCAAGTTGCTGAATTGCTGAATGGAATATAAGAGCGAGAGTCTGCTCTGCGTCAGAGGTGCAACATCAAGTTCGTTGCCTAAGTCTTTTGTTTGCTACTCCCATGCGATCCCCCTTACCCTTACCTTTGCCCCTCACATTTCACTGGTTTCTTGTTTATTTACCTGTCTGATGTTTTTGGCTTTTATTTCTCTTATTTATTTATTCATTCGCCGGAGCAAACACAAGAGATTCTGCAGAAAAAGGCAAGCGTCAGACAAGACTTTTGTTTTCGCGATATTTTCAAGGATAAAGATTTTTAGCCGAGAGTGTGAGAAATGCATGGGTACAAAAGTATATAAATGTATACACACATGTGTTATTTCTGCATAGGGTGTGGCAATTCGGTGCGTGTTTTCTGACCCGAACCGCTGGACCCCGAAGCGAAAGGGGTTCATGCTCGATTAGTTGGCGACCGCTATAATGAACCGATAAGTAAAAGTAGCTTAAAAAGGCTTTTCAACCGGCTAACAGCTAGCTGGTTCATTCGCAAAAAAGAAAAAGAAAAACACGTCAAGTGTTATATGTGTGGAGTGACAAACACAACAATGGCAGCAACAACGCAAAGCGATTGTTAATTGTTGCCCGTTAGCCAGTGGGCTTTTTTCTTTTGTTTTTGTTGCTGTCACCGGCTGTTGTTATTATTATTATTATTGTTAGTGCGGCTTTGTACATTGACACCCAGCACACAGCATCCAGACGCGTGAAAGTGCAGACAGAGACAATTAACATTTTGGCCATAAATATGGCTTTATGGATGTTCCGAACTTTGGCAGTGTCGAAAAAAAGCACACACACACACACACACATCACTTATGGGCTCTGAACTCTGAGCTGGATTTTCCACGCCAGATTTGTGGGCTTTCTCCGCCTCGAAATCTCCCATCGAACAGGGGGAGAGAGAGAACCAAACGGGTTGAGCAAGTGAAAACCCGGCCTGAGGCTGAGCTCAATCCTATTTATGTCAGGGGCGCATATCAAAATACATATCAAATGCAGCCTAATTGTAACTTGTTTGAAATATGCATTGAGCAATGGCATCAATTCCACTTAGAGTATCATGCAATTCCTGCCCCAATCCCCCCCGTTGGTCTAGACCTGCGTCGCCTGTCTTGAATTTGTACAATTAGATAATTTTTTTTTCGTGTGCGAGTATGTTTTTCTCACCGCCTTGCATTTGGATGAAAAAATGTAGCACAGAAAGGCAATGTGCGGCTAATTAATGCATTTTAATTGCAAATACTTAGCAGACAGCAGTGTGTGTGAGTGTGCGTGTGTGTGTTGTGGTAATTATTTGTGCCATTGAACGGTGCCGAGAGCCGGAGAGCCCGAGAGAAGGAGAACGTGGACAGGAAGTCCCAGCTTAGAGCGGGAGCAGTCACTAAAAGAATGTAAATTAATCTAATGATATGTTATGAATAGTTTCTACTGTTAGGTGTGCTAAAACATTAACTAAAAGGGGGGATTACTGGTTGTTATATAATGGGAAACCTGATAAAGCGGCCGATGAAGAGGGGTCTTTAACCTTAAGTCACAACTACAAGCTGCAGAGCATCTTTTTGTAACTTTAATTCCATTTTAAATCCATTTTTGAATCACTTTTAATTTGTATATTTACAAGTTTATAAGGCTTATCATTAAATTTGCATTATTATAATTTAATCCTCCCGAAGCATTTAAATTAATCTTGTAACATATTATTATCAGTTTGTTTGTGATCAAGTGACTTGTTAATTAAATGTTTTTCTATTTACTCAAACTTAACACTCTCTTAGTCTGTGGTATATATATCTCCATGTCCATTGTCTGTTTTGTTAGCTTGTGCCATTCAATTGACCTTCAATTTCCAACGCACTTAGCCACAAGTTACAAGTTGGCTAGTCAGCAGTGCACAATACGTTCGCTCACTTGGCCAGCTCCAATTCCAATTCCAAGTCCAATTCCGAATCTGAATCCAAACTCCACTTCCAATTCGATTTCATGGCCGGCCAAGCAACTCGCATTCACCTGGCAAACTGGCAAAGAGTGTGTGTGGTGTCATTCCATTGAGATACAGATACAAGTACAGAGATACAGATACAGATATAAGCAAGTGTAGCAAGTAGACCCGGCTAAGTGGCGCTGGTGTTTAGTCATATATTGTTGTTAATAATACTTCTGCCAGAGGTCTTTGTCTCGGGCTCCTTCAGCTCGACTCCGGAATGGACAATGACACGCGCTCTTGGCAGCATTTGAAACGTGTTTTGTTTTGGCATTATATGCTCCTCCTCAATCTCCTCAACCTCCTTCATGCAGTTTTATATGCCGCCCCTTTTGCAGCCGGGTCAAACAGCATTTTTGTTGTTGCTGGATGCACATGAACTTTCGAGTTGAAAAAGGTCAAATACTAGCGATGGTTGGGAAATAATTTTACTTTATTGCCGAAGACAGAGACCAAGCACTGTCTTCCCCCGTTAATGATATTGCTGTGGCTGTTGTTTTTATGGCGCTGAGGAATTTTACCCTATCAGAGATTACTTACCCGACTGACTTTCATATCTGTTCGTTCTATGTTTCTTTTTTTCGGGGACTGTCTCTCTTTTGTCTCATTAGCCAGTGGGATAGAAAGGCCGATAAAAGGCCAAGAACTATTTGGGTTTGCTGGCCAACTCGGCTAACTGCAATGGAGATGATTTTAAGATAAAGCTGTGTACATTTTCCCCTCCTGCGATTATATTGTAATGGAACCGCAGCAAACAAAAATCAGGAAATAAATCATTCTTAAAATGATCACTTGGAGGGAGGCCTTTCCGCTGAAAATATATGAATGGATGGTATGATCTTCAATTTCAATACAACGGCGGTAACATTGAAATTTAACACTTCGTTTCACACAAATTTCCATATTCGCCTTTTGTGGATTATCATCTTTTTGGTGCGGACAAAGGCCGCGCAATTTCATTAGCGTCGGCAAATTTCTAAAACAAATACAATAGGAAAACCTGCGAGGTCTGGCTTTAATTAAAACAAAAATATAATCAAAATTAACACCCAAAAAGAGAGGCAAACGGACTCGAATGCAGGCAACATCATAGTCGTAAATTGCGTAATCAATTCGAATTTGTTTATAATTCGAAGCCAAAGCCGGACCACAGGCAACAGCAGCTGCACATAATACGCCGAATATTCGAGTGTATTCATTTCGGATTCATGACACACTCTGAGGCATGACCGTTACATTGCCCAAACCCCAAAATGGAAAGCCCTTTCGGGTCCCCCTCTTCCCTGTCGATCGCAACCCAACTCTATTCCCCGTATTATATTGTTTGTTGACACTTTTTGCGCATTACAAAACACGGCCAATCGACTCTCCGAGCAGCCGCTGCTGGCGGGGATCAGAGGCGTGGGCATGGAGTGGTCATTAGGCGGTGTGCACTATGGAGCTCCGCTTCCGGTTGACTGCGTTGCCACCACACCACGGGACAAAAGTATACAGACACGGAAATCGAAGAAAAGAACATCAAAGCGGGAGGAACGGAACAGAATAATTGCGGGTTGGGGAGGAGGCAGTGTTTATGGGTCAAGTGTAATGTGGCCTAAATGGGGGCTACAATTCCCAAGAATGAGGTGGTTAAGAAAGGAATTTAATCCATTATGGGTGCTTACAATGGTAATTATGTCGATTTTGAATTGATAAAGTAATAGCCATTAAAAATGGAAGTTTACAAAGCCTGACATTAAATACATAGAAACAAAATGGAAAGCATCTATACACCAAAAACTATTTCAAATTATTAGATTACAGTATGACTTTAAGCAATTTAAAAAAAGGAACATGGAGAATATTTTACTTAATATAAAGGTTGTATTTTGAAGTGCTCTGATTGTCATTTGTTCCGTTTGATCTTGATTAATTTAATTATTAAAAATTTTGATATATATAAATCTTACATCTCAAATCTGCTGAATATTTAAAATAAAACAGTAAGCCCCACCAATCAAGGTCTCATTTGACCAAGGAAACTCCCCATTTTCCGCCGCATTTATCGCACATTTCGTGGCATTATCAAACCTAGGATCAGTGGTAGCCCTGCCCCCGAAGAACAACTAACAAAGACATCCGGTTTGCAATGCAACGCTTCATGGCAGCTTGTCGATTCTAAGCACATCACTTACACACGGACCGGGGGAGCCCCTTTTAGATCTCTCCCTCCCAGTTCTGGGAACTGACTTGGACTGTGACTGCCGCCGTTCATTTGTTTGTTTGCTGGAGCCGCAGAACGTGCGGCGACTTAGAAAAACCGCAAATGAGTTCGAACTACCGGACAGCAGTTTTGCATTTCTGCATAAGTGGCCTGTCTTCGGGTGATTGTTTGCGGTAGTGTGGCGATGGCGGTTGTCGCTTGCATATACACAAAATATATACAGATAGCTGTGTGTATATATCATAATCGAGCTAACTGGCTACGCGTTGAGTCATAAACTATGCTAATCCAAAAACCCCTTTTTGCCTGGCGAGCAGCAGCAGCAGCAGGAACAAAAGCGGACCAAGTTCGTTGCCTGAGTCTTTTGAATGCACTCGTTGAAGTTGAAGTTGGGGATAAAAGTACAAGGCAAAAACTTGCATAACGGAAAGGCAGACCACCAAACAAGTCCCCCAAACTCTCTGCAGCATGCACCACCAGGTCTTGTGTATAAATATATATATATTCATACATAAATTGAAGAAGCCTGGAAGAGTCGCTTAACGAGTGCCAGTGAAAAATGAAAATCAATGACAGTAAAAGACAAATTGTGCGCCAAGTAAAAACAGACAAAGCCCAAGGAGTGGGAGCAGCACCACCACGAAACCTCGAACAGCTTGGGTATTATAAACGACTAACCGTGACAGCAAACAGCCCGTCGAGGAGTCCCAGAACCAAGAGCCAAGAACTGCAATGGCAGCCCTATCTGAAGCTGGAGCTGGAGCTGGAGCTGGAGCTCGACTTGGTGCTGGAGGCTGGCAGCGGCAGTGGCAGCATAACGAACTAAAATTCAAGGTTCATGTCAGTAACCCTAAGCTTGGGTCCCGGCACAACAATAAAAGCAACAGCTAAAACATAAAACACACACATAAAGATGTTCTCTCTCTTCGTATAGAAATAGGCTAGGGTCTCTTTCTCCCATTCTCTCTGTAGACTAACGAACCGAGCCAAGTTCTGATAGGTTATATACCCTGACTTTTAAACGGTGTATATCCATTCCCATAGAGGGTTTATACTGTACAAAGAAGTAGGTATTAATATATCAAAATTGTAAACTGGAGAGGATTATTTATAGCCATCAATTAACTACATCTTATCTAAATGAATCCTTAAATCAAACTCATTTAGAATGTCTGAAGAGAGTATTTACATATCGCGGCTATTTTTTAGTTGTAAAGATTTTTAGCGCTAAATTGGCATCCGTTGCATGCTGACTCCAACTTCAACTCCGATTCTGTGGCTGTCTCCGACTGTCTGGCTGTCCGACTGACTGACTGCCTCCAAGCGTCGAGTACCACAGTAAATTTCAGTTCTCCTTTCTTATTGGAGCGACGACAACTGTTGCGTCTGCACCAGGTATGGGGCGTAAAAGCGTTCAGGGACCAGGGACCAGGTACCGGGTTCGCTTTAATGCCTATTACCACGCATGCATGACAGTCCTCTCTCTCTCTCCCTCTTCACCCACACTCCCGGCAGGGCTGTCTAGGCGGAGGACTTGACTGGGTAAGTGCCGTCCCCATGGGGTCGCATTCTACTCCGGCCTGTCCCCCAGCCGCGGCGTCATCCATGAGTCAGCGGCGGCCATGTGGCGGCATCTGCGTCTCGGAAGGGGCTATTTACCACTCCGAAGGGAATGATGATCGAGTGCTCGGATCCGTTGAAAATTGCAGCTGAGCCCCATTTTGTAGTTATTACTGAAATGGAACTAAACTGTCTTCAAAACATTCGAATGTAAATGTTTGAAATTCTTTTGGCAGCCAAAGAGCAATCAAAGATCATTATGTCCCAGCTAAATGAATATTGATTGACTAATTTACGAAATTGGATGATGAATCGCTTCCCAGCAAACTCTCTTTGAATAATCCTAAACCTCCAGCCAACTCTGGTCTAGTCTTCTTCCCCACATTTTCCCCCCGAAGTTCAAGTGCAGCAATTAGCAATCAAGTTCAAGTTTCCCATTAATGAATTAACTCTTAATTGAATGTTCCTCCGAACACCGGCTGGGATCCCAACCGAGGCAATCTTGTATTTCTTGTCCAGCCCAAAATCCCAAGTCAAGTGTTTTTGTGTCCGTTTTATAATACACAAGACTTAAAGACCCCCTTACTAAGGTCGTCTTTTATTTATGACATGAGCTTTGGGCCCCGAAGCCAGGCCCAAAAACAAATGTAATTATCTTATATAAGAGAAGAGACTGAGGAAAATCACAAAAGAACAACATGTGAGACCCAAAACAAAAAGAGCTTTACAAGTGAGAAAAAGAAGCAGGAAAACCGAAGAGAAACAAGAATTATATCATAAAAGATGAGGCTTGCCTGATATTTTGGCCGAGGCTTGTCTTCCAAGAATGGACCGCGCTCGTCCGACCTACGGATGATGATTCAGCAGCCAGAAGACACGGGCAGACGGGGGCTTAATGAATACCTTGCAGATTTTGGGGAATTGATGCTGCGGCCGTTGTTGTGGCAAAAAAAGAGCAGAAATTACGTTTCAATGATGGCGTTGCCAATGCGAACGATGATGATGATGATGAGACGCGTGAGATATTTCCAATACGATTTACGTGGTTTCCGCTAGAATGGCGCAAGAATTTCGGATTGCCAGTTACCGTAAATGTGGGACAAAGCCTTAGAGTTTGTTTACCTCAAAGGTGACTCAGTTTCTGCCCTAGACTTGTATTAATTATTTAAATCTAATAAAAGGTCATATTCTCTATTAATTTTCAGAGATTACCACTATGCTGCCAAGCATGGACTCCTCGTCCAGTGTGAGTTCGACCAGCATTGAACCAATCACCTCAACGGAACCCACGACCACGCCGCGCCTTGAGACGGAGCAGCACATGGTTTTCTCGCACACAGAGCCCGACCAGAGCCACATCCAGCATATACCACTGCGGGATGAACATGCAGAGAACAGCGGCAGTGATGATGCCACCACCGAGATGCTTCGCGAACACCAGCAGGAGGAGAGCGAGCAGCGGCAGAATGAGCTCAATCAGATCTCCAACGAGCAGGACGACGTGGTCAAGGATCTCAACAATTTCCGACATCCGGCTACGCTCATAACGGCCAGCAACAGCAACGGCAACAGCGACGAGATCGTTGAAACCGAGAGTGACAAACGGGTTGAGACGACAACAGGTACTCCTTCTCCAGCCACGTCCAACAGTACGACAGCAGCAGGCACAACAACATCCAGTACGGAGAGTGCGGTGCCGAGCGAACGCGAAGAAGATCCCTATCATGTGCATATACTGTCCGAGAATCATGATCGCCTGGCCGAACACGAAGATTATCAAATGCTCTCGACCAGCACCGAGGAGTCGACATCGAGCATGGCCGGCATTGTTGTCAGCCAGGAGAACAAGGCAACCGCTGAGCCATCAGCAGTGACCGAGTCCACAACTACAACCACATCCCCGGCCCCATCTATAGGCACATCCACAACCACATCGCGAGCACGCGCCATGCATATGAATGAGCCAGAAAATGAAACAGGCACCACCATAATGCCGGACAGCGAGTCGGGCCCAGTGATTAACATTGTTGAAGGACAACACACACAGCGGCAGCAGCTGCAGGAGGAGGAGGAGAAGAAGTCGGAGGAGGCACTGAAGGGCAAGGAGACAGAGTCAGTGAGCCAGAGCAGCTCCACCACCGAGGCCTCTGTCACCACCACAACCTCGGAGCCATCGCCATTTGTGGCTTTCGCTGGCGAGGGAAGATCAGCGGGTGGCAGCGATGATGTGGAGCTGTTCCTGCACCACAATGGTTCCACTCACGAGCAGCTCATGGATCTCAGTGATGTGGACATGGACGAGGATCAGAATGGAAGCAGCAGCACTAGCACCACCACAACGACAACGACCACTGTTCAGCCGGAAACGGAAATGCCCAAAATTGTGGAGATCACAGCCAGCGGGGATACCATGCAGCGCGAATGTCTGGCCAACAACAAGAGCTATAAGGTTAGTATGCAAAACTAAATATTTTTATCAAGATGTGATTAATAGTATCTTAAGGAAGATTGGTTTAGAAGAAAGTTTTGCAGAGGAGATGTCCCAATTATGTGACATAAAACCTTTTACCATTATGCATTATGCAGTTTAGACAAGGAACAGAAAATCAAACTTAACCAAAGCATTTAAATGATTACAGGAAAGGAAGCTAAATCCTGGTATTTGAAATTCCTATGCCCTTGCAGTGAAAATCTATCATAACTAAGTCAAAAATGCATTAATGTTAAATCGGAAAGCTTTCCTATGTTAGTTTTTATTAGATTAATAAATCTGCATCCAAATTTTAACAAAAATTTTGAAAAATTATTTTTTGACCATACATGGCTTAATCGATTCGGCTGTTAATGCTGATCAAGAATATATATGATTTATGGGTCGGAAATGACTTCTCCATTGCGTTCCATGCTTTTGATTAAAATGTACCCTGCAAGGGTATAAAAACAATACAAATTCAATAATAACGAAATGATATAACATACCCTCGACTTTTTATGAAATTTGCACTTTATAAAAACTGGAAATAAGTTTATTTTTAGAGGAAACTAATGACAATCTGCATCAACGAGGAAGTTGATTCGCAACCACTGGTCCGAATAATTAAAACTTATGAAATCATTCGATCTGTTATTCAATTTTTTATCAGGTCTGTGCTAGATTTCATTAAACTTTTAAGAAACTCGTATTTTTTGTAGATTTAGCAAGCTAGAGGCAAGGCCACAAGAGATGCAATAATTCTAGGTTTAGAAGATACCAATTAAAGACAAAATTCAGGCTAAAATGACACCTTATCAAAGTAGAATATATGTAAGTCAGGCGGAGAGAAAGCGATTGGAAAACGCCTCCATTTCTACGTCTGCCTGCCCACTTCCTGGCACGCAACTCCAATTTGCCTTGTCGTCACCTGGATTGCATAATGGCAACGAGTTTGGTGCTCATAATGAAACCGGTCAGACCCAGACCCAGAGTCAGGCTCACGGCAGCCTCCGGCGCAGCTGCTGCTCTCTGTACTTCGAAAAAAAGCACGAAAATATTCGGGTATTCGGGGTAACTTTTCCTGGCTGCCTGCTCGCCCAGGCGGCAATTATGCAAATATTTTTGCGCACCTCAAAATTAACAGAAAAATGCACGAAAAAGGCAAGCTGAAGAGGGAAAATTCCAAGAAATTGCTGGGCTGTGATTGATGTTGACATCGCTTTCGCGTTGTCTGTGGCCCAGCCCAGGTCCCACACTCCGGTCATCATCATCATTACAATGTGACAATTGCCGGCATTTTAGATAAGTCATTGGATAAATTTTTAAAAATCTTATCTTATCTGTTGGCTAATTAACAGCCATCGGTTAGTTTGAAATTTTCAATAAATTGCTACACTTTGTGCCTTTGTGCGTCTGTCCAACTGTGACGTGTTCATCAAACGTTGCACTCCGGCTCTCCGGTCCGCATAATGGCGTCCAGTCATGGATGCCATATCTGGGCTTGGATCGGCTGTCCATCGATATATATACACATATATATGTATCCATACATATATCTGCAAATTGGTGGACGCCTGCAGCTGGCACTACTTACTGATCAACCCATTTTCCGCGGCAATGCCCCGACTCTGGGTGTTGATTTTGTGTTAATTAAACTAGAGAGGGCTTTTCCTTTTTAAAAATACACTAACTTATAATTACATTTAAAGAAACCTACATTTAAATTGTAATATTACAATTGAAAAAGTTAATAAAGCGAGACAAAGCGCAAATGCTTATTGAGTCCACAGTTTCTGGTATCTGTAAGGAACTAAGTTTCTTCGGGAAGAGTATTAACCCTTCGGTTTGGCCCACTTCTCATCTTTTTTTTATTAATATCGCTTTTCTTAATCTTTTAAATTGTTTGTGTTGTAGTTTTCATAATCGAGTTTGCGGTCCGCTTCGATATGAAATAATTTTTGCTTTCACTTTTAATGAATTGTTGTCGGCGGTTGGACGGCCCTCCTCCTCGCCCTCCCACCTTCTCCTCCTTCTCCTTTTTGGCTTATATGTATATATATATATATTTTTTTTTTTTTTTTTTTTATTTTTAATAAATTGCTATCGATTGGCGGACACGTGCAACATGCCAGGCCGCATGCCACAAATGCTTTTGAAGTGAGCAGCCAAATAGTTAAAAATAATCAAATAAATTGCACAGTTTACCAAGTGTTTTCTTGGTTTTCCTTTTCAGTAGCTTATGGTGCCAAAGTGGGCGTTTTGGGGCGTTGCTTGGGCTTTATATCCGCCAAGACTCCGAAGTTCACAAGAATTGTGCTCATTAGCTGCCATTAGGGAAGGCTGAGACGGCTGGGGAACTTGTAACCATTAAAATATTACTGGACTTAACAAAGGGGCGTGAATATTTGCACCTGAGAACCCCAGTAAATGCTTTGGGAACTCCAGCTTAAGCCTAAAAAGATTCTTAATTAAAACTAAAACGAACTGCTGCGGCAAACAAAAGACTCTGGCAACGAACTTCGTTCGAGGGCTTCATCGAAATATGACATATTTGGTTATTGGAGCACTTCGCAAAAGAGCAGGAAATCTCTGGCCATGATTGCCTTCAGTCAACAGGCCGGATGATTGATGAGCTCCACTCCACTCACTTGTTTAGTTAACTCTGCAAATTGATGTAATGTCTTGCAAATTACTTTCACACAGCTGAGGAAATGTATTTTGACAAAAAAAAGTGGGTCAGTGGGTCGATCTTTGGCCATTACCGGTACAATTTGCGATTGTTCTTAGGCTTTGTGACTAGCGATTATTGGTGTAATCTACGGGTTTCCTAAGATAGTGAAAGTCGTGATCATTGTTCAGGAAGTAATTGGAAAAAGAGAAAGAAAGATCTGAAGTGAGGCTGCTTAAGGTACTCTGTACCAAATATGCTTTGGTTCAAAACCACAGAAGAGAGAAGGTCTGGTTCCTTTAATTTTAAAAAGGTTTTTGATAATATATGTACTTTAAAATTCAAGAGTATTGACTCAAACATATCTTAATAATTTGCAGCACGGCGAGATGATGGATCGGGATTGCGACGAGAAATGCACCTGCAACCGCGGCGACTGGATGTGTGAGCCACGCTGTCGGGGATTGAGCTATCCCCGCGGCAGCCAGCGCAGCATGGCCAATCCCAACTGCCGGGAGAAGGTCGTGGAGGAGGACGAGTGCTGTAGGATCATGGAGTGCAGCGAGCCGCTGTTAGAGCCCACCGTGGTGACATCCGAGGCAGCTGCACCGTCCACGGAAAAGACGACAGGAGAGGCGGCGGCAGTGACCATGCCGCCAGCTGAAGACGACGGTGAGTGGAACTGAAGATGAGCTCTAGTCGTGGCTTTTTGTGGCTTTGCCGTAGTCGTAGATAGCTTTTATTGCATTCCCTATTCATGCCAATATATATTTGCTGGCTAAGCTTTCTAACATTTGCCGTGTTCTTTGTGCCTTCCATTTACACATGTCCCCATCCCGCTACTCACGCCCATCGCCCATTGCACCGCCACCGTCACTGCTACCACCACCTGCCACACATTGCAGCCACGCCCAAGCCGCGTACCGACTGCCACCACATGGGCAGCATCTACAAGTTCCGGGAGCGCCTGGAGATCGGCTGCGACCAGATCTGCCACTGTGCCGAGGGCGGCGTAATGGACTGCCGGCCCCGCTGTCCGGAGAGGAACCACACGCGGGCGGACAAGTGTGTGTATGTGAAGGATCCGAAGGATGTGTGCTGCCAGCTGGAGCTGTGCGACGTCACCTTGGACGATCACGAGCAGCAGCCAACCCCCGCTCAGAACACATACAACGAAGAGTCGGGCGAGCACAATATCTTCGCCTTCCAGGAGCAGGCACGCGATGCAGGACATGTCAGTGCTAGGTGCACCTTCAAGGGATCCGAGTACGAAGTGGGGCAGCAGTTCCGCGATGGCTGCGAGCAGCTGTGCCTCTGCAACGAGCAGGGCGTGCACTGCGCCAAGCTGGAGTGCCCCTCGAACTTCGGGTTGGACGTTCAGGATCCGCACTGCATTCGCTGGGAACCGGTGCCATCAGACTTCAAACCTTCGCCGCCCAACTGCTGTCCTGAGAGTATGCGGTGCGTGGACAACGGCACCTGCTCCTACCAGGGCGTGCAGGTCGAGAACTGGTCACCAATTCCGGCTAACCTGACAGGTAAGAGCGTGGCTCAATCACCTCCATTCGCTTCTCTCTCGATCATGGCTTCTCCTCCCGACCAGGTTGCGATCAGCATTGCTACTGCGAGAACGGACGCGTGGAGTGCCGGGCGGCCTGTCCGCCGGTGCCAGCTCTTCCGCCTGCGGATCTGCCCTGCCATCTGGGCCTGGCCCGCCTCCTGCCAATTCCCGACGACGAGTGCTGCAAGCACTGGACCTGTGCCTCGCAATCGCCCAAGGCAGGACCTGCTGGACAGGAGCCTGAAGAGGAGGCCACACAGTCCTCGATCCCGATCAATGGTAAAAACAGATGCAAGGCCACAGAGTAATCCTATTTCTGGGACATTGCATGCAATTTACATCCAATCGCTTCATTCTTTCACTCCCAAAAATAGTCCTCAGTTCGATTTGTTATTTATTATTTTACATTGTTTGCTTTTGTTTAATTTGCTTAATTGATTGGCTGTGCTTTTGCTATTTTGTAAAGTTATCTCTGATCTCACTATCGCTCCTACCAATCACTTTTTATAACGCTGACATGCTATTTAATTTCGTTTTACTTTGTTTTTATTTTCTACGCTCATCACAACCAATTTCAATATTGTTATTCACGCTATGCATTTTGTAAATAATCAAACTACAAAACCAACAACCAACCAACCATCCAACATGCAACCGATAACAGAAACCACAACCACGACAGCGACAATAGCGACAAGTACCGCTGGCAAAGTGCCCCAGATCAGGAAGGACGAGGACAAGAAGTCCTCTACAAGCGGCGGTGCCTTCTATCCCACCTTAGATGGCAAGCCGCCGAAGGCAATCGGAGGTCTGGGCATCTTCGAGAAGCCAGAGAAACCCGAGAAGGGTCACAAGAAGGTGCAACATCAGCACAATCAGCCGCAGGATCAGCAGCAACATCAGAACGATGTCATTTTCGATGGCGAGCGGCCGGAGGAGCAGGAAGGTCCCTTGCCACCGAACGCCGGTTTTGTGCCCTTCCAATTTGGCCACCAGCATCCGCATCAGCAGCAGCATCTCGGACCCTATGGCTTCTACAATCCCGTGAAGCCCGTTTACGAGGACTATAATCCCTACGAGCCGTATGACATCAATCCCAATGGCACGCCCCAGGGCAAGCCGCCACCGGTGCCCACTAGTCAGTCGGATTTGTTCAACATATTGGGTGCGGATCAACCAAATCATCCCGGCCATCCAGGACATCAAGGCCACCCGGGTCACCTAGGACCTGTTCCGATTCAAGGACAGAAGGATAACCATAACCTGCACCAGCAAGTCAGAATAGAGCAGATACTGCAGCACCTACAGCAAACGGTTCCTGGAGGGCCACCACCGCAGCAGCAGCAGCCGCAACATCCACAGCACCCACAACAGCCTCAGGTGCCTGGCCACTATGTGCCCATTGTGCACAGTGGAGTGCCTCCGCCACCGCCAGGACATGGAATTGCCATTGTAGATGGCCAGCCAGTCGCATACGAGAGCTACCCAGTGATACCAGGCCTAGGCGTGCCTCCGTCGACGCTCCACCAGCCGCAGCAGCCACATCAGACGACACCGCAACAGCATCGGCAGCAAACGATCCTGCCCAGCTCCAGCACAACCTCCGGACTCTCGACGCAGGCCAGCGAGCACAGCCTGCACCAGAACCAGGACAAGTTGACCAAGCAACAGCCGCAGCAGCAGCAGCAGCCAGGTTGATTTAACTACATATCCTAGATCTCTAGCCCCCATAGATCTCTCCTCTACTCTGCTCAGCCCTCCAAGAACCACCACAGATACACTGCGACAGGTTTCTACCGTACTAACTGAGACTACACCAGCAACTACAACAAAAGACACACACAACAAAGTCCACAACACACGCAACTCACCAAGCACCTACACCCTCATTTGGCACACAGACCATCCATCATTGTCATGCTTGCAGCTAATCCGCAACTCGAGCGATCTGAAATGAAATCTGTTAATAGATATCGGGGCACTAATACTAAAATTACTAAAACTAAACATTAACTAACTAAACCTAAGCCAGAGATGGATAAAGGTTGATTACTGTGGGAAGATGGTGACACAACTGTGTTTATAAGCATTATTATATTAGTCATTAAAGTTTAAAAACGATAATATCCATTCAATTTTGAATAAGATTAAATAGATTTGTTATAATTTTAAAAGCTTTCAAAGTTATATCTCCTTTTTGTATGAAATTAATCTCTATGCTTATAAACATTATTGAATACACCCTATAATATCCTCAAAGATGATAATCCTATCTCATTTACTAATATCAAAGTAACTTAACTAAAAATCTTATCTTATCTTATTAAATCCACGAAACTAGGAGCCGGCAATCTACAGCCTGACATTGAGGTTCACACCCTGGAGGCCATCGATGCGCGCAGCATCCGCATCGTCTTCACCGTTCCCCAGGTGTATGTGAATCTTCATGGACGCGTGGAGCTCCGGTACACGAACGGACCCAGCAATGATACCACCACCTGGGAACAGCAGATCTTTGCGCCGCCAGAGGACCTGATTGCCACCTCTCAGATGGAGTTCGATCTGCCCATGCTGGAACCAAATTCACTTTACAAGGTCAAGATCACCCTGATCCTGCGTGATCTTAATTCGCAGCCCACAAGCAGTGTGTACACCGTAAAGACGCCACCAGAAAGGACAATCACGCCGCCACCTCCGTTCACCGACTACAGACCAGACTTCCAGGACATCTTCAAGAACGTCGAGGATCCCGAGCTGACGGTCAGTGAGACGAATGCCTCCTGGCTGCAACTTACCTGGAAGAAGCTGGGCGATGAGCAAATGGAGTACGTTGACGGTGTGCAGCTTCGTTACAAGGAGCTGACGGGCAAGATCTACTCCTCGTCGCCCCTGATCCATCGCACCCTCACCAGCTATACCATCCAGAACCTGCAGCCGGATACGGGCTACGAGATCGGACTCTACTACATCCCCTTGGCCGGACATGGTGCGGAACTGCGCGCCGGACACATGATCAAGGTGCGCACTGCCCCGAAGATCGATGTCTACGGCTTCGATGTGACCGTGAATGTCACAAAGGTAAAGACCCAGAGCGTGGAGATCTCCTGGAATGGAGTTCCCTATCCGGAGGACAAGTTCGTGCACATCTACCGGGCGATCTACCAGAGCGATGCTGGCAAAGAGGACTCCAGCGTGTTCAAGGTGGCCAAGCGGGACAGCACCACAGGAACCCTGATCATGGATCTCAAGCCAGGCACCAAATACCGCCTGTGGCTGGAGATGTACCTGACGAACGGCAACACCAAGAAGAGCAACGTGGTCAATTTCATCACGAAGCCAGGTGGTCCGGCCACTCCTGGCAAGACTGGTAAGTCGGGATGATAGAGTGGTGGATTGTGGTTTTCAAATAAGATCTATCTATTTAAAGTGCGGCAGTTTTTCGAAAGAATTATTCGGGGATTCAAATTATTTGGTAAAGAAAGCTTACATCCAATCATTAGCTTTGTAGATTAGGAACTTTTATGTAGAGTAATTCTTGATAGCACCCACTTTATTGTTAACAGAGATTGCCCATTAATATATAAGAGTAAATAATTAGAAGTGTAGTTGGAGCTTAAGAACACAAAATATATAAACTTTTATAATTTATTTCGGCAAAACAAATTAATATGATTTATTACCACAGGCAAACTCCTAACCGCGGGCACGGACCAACCCGTGGGCGATTACTACGGACCTCTGGTTGTGGTTTCTGTGATTGCCGCCTTGGCAATCATGTCCACGCTGGCCCTGCTCCTGATTATCACCAGGAGACGAGTGCACCAAACGGCATCCATTACGCCACCACGCAAGAGCGACGCGGCCTACGACAATCCCTCCTACAAGGTGGAGATCCAACAGGAGACCATGAGTGAGTTCAGCCTTCTGAAGACCCAAAAGAATTTCAAATTTTTTAATTTTATCTCTTTTTCGCAGATCTGTAACTGACTCTCGATGCCCCTCCAAAAAACAACTAGTTTAAAGACAGATTCTTGTAAATATTGAAGAGAACCGGAAGATTACTCAGTGTCAGTAAAAATGGTAAAAAGTAAAGAACCTGACTCAATCAGATTAAATCAGATGGAAGAGATATAATATGTTTAACTTTCTGAAGCCGGCGCAAGATCAAAAACAAATTTATTCAATTCGAAATGGCCGCCATGTTGTATGTAGTGGTTAAGTAATCTAAAAAGAACACACATCTTTTGTTAAACAATTTGTGACTTGTGTAAATAGAGAGAGAGTGAGACAGAAGGTAGACATCAACACCCTATGGAAGGATTAATTAATTGAGGAAAGCTCCACAACTGAATTGGCCTCGCTCGCCATGGCGCACGGATTCTTCTAGCGATTTCGAAATGCATACGAGTTTAGTTAGTTTAACTTGTAAATTTTAGCTTTACACTTATCGTAATTAAAGGGCGCGTCTGCAATGCTCCGATCTACCCGACAGCAGCAACAACATCAGCAATATTTGGCTCAAACGATGCGTTCTTCAATTAACAGTCCATAAATATTTAAATTAGTTCGTAAAACGTACAGAGATATATGTATGAATGTATGGATAAATAAAAATTAAAACATTAAAAACAATAATTACTCAAGAATATTTTATATGATCTAGAATACATGGTAGTTCTTTTGAGTTAGTCTTCGACCTTGGCATTCGATGACCCAATATTCGTTTGTTATACAAAAAAAGAAAGAGTTACCTTAACGAATTTCCTAATCAGTTAATTTATTATAAGTGTAATCTTCTTCTCCCAGGTATTCTATTCTTTTTAATGTTGTGTTTCAAACAAAACTAAAATTAACGCAGAAGAAAATGCCCTGACACTCAGTTTTTCCGTTTCATTCAAAGTCCACAATTGAAAAAAATATACTTTATTTAAATTTTCATTTCTTTGTTTTTTGTTTTCTATTTGTTTTTGGCTTTTACCTACACTTTTCTTTGTACAACATTAACTATTTTCTCGTCGTGGGTGACTGGCGACCAAAATGTTAGCTTTCGGTTTCGGTTATTTTTACACTTTCATTTCCACTTTATTTAATTTAATTCTTTCTTTCTCTTTTTATTTGTTTTCTTTGCTTGCAGCACCAACAATATAGATATCTATATAATAATAGATACATGTATATACAAAATGCACAACTAGATTTCGCTTTTCTGAATTCAAAATTCAATGTTTCGAACACTAAATGCTAAAGTTCTGATTTACTCGAGTATGTGTAATTATAATCGAAGTTATTGTAGATCAAAGAGGAAAAATATTGAAATATCTTTTCGCATTTGGCGTGAACAAATCTTTGAGTTTGTTTCTCATTAAGAAGTTATTGTACAAGTTAGATTTAAGTAAATTATTCGGTGTAAATTTACATCTTTTTCTTGATTATCTTGTTTGTTTTTGTTTTGTTTTTAGTATTTTGTTTTTTTTTTTTAATGGTAAAAGTAATCACTGTTTAGCCTCCGTTCTTTGACATTAAGTTGGTTGTGTTGCTTTTTTGATTTAGGCAAGGCAGGAGCAGGACTTGCCGGACTCGGGGCGTTTGGGTTGCTTATTTGGTGCTTGTGGTGCTGATGCTGGCGGCGGTCTCACTGTTGCTGCACTGCTCGATGACGCTGTTCCCCTCCGCCTCACTGCTGGTAGTGGACGAGTTGCTATCATCGTCGTCGTCGTCGTCATCTGCCCCGTCCTCGTCCTCGTCTTCGTCCTCGTCGTCGTCCTCTTCATCCTCCTCGTCATCCTCGTAAACAATTTCATTCTCGATCAGGCGCATGTCCATGTCAGTGCTGTCGAAGGAGTCTGTTATGACACTATCATCATCAGTCGTTGTTTCATCCTCCTGCCCCGATGCGTCAGTCTCTAGATCCGTCTCATCATCGACATGGCCCGGCTGCTGCGGAGAGGATCCTTCGCTGCCTGTCTCAATGCGCATCTCCTGCATCAGCTCTCTAAACAGCTCAGTCTCTATATCGCTAATTCCCAGTCCCAAATGTCTTTTGTTAACATCCATCAGCACGTTCTTAAGGTTGCGGGCAAGGAGTCGCAGGTGCTCTTCACTGCAGGCATTTGGACTGGTTACATACCGGATATAGTCCTCCAAGTAGAAGGTATTGAAGCTATCACGAGTGGGTTCTCCGACGGCAAACTGCTGGTGCGTGAGAAGGAGCTGGTTGATCAACCAGTTGCGGCCACCCTTCAAGACTTCAATGGCATCCCGCACGCAGTGACGGCCCAGCTCGAAGTTGCGATACAGCGGATAGGTGATCACACGTCGCAGAAAGGCCACTAGCACGTCCCTGTAATTATCAAACTGCTCGAAGTAGCAGTATAACGGGCACAAGATGCTGCGCGTCCAGCCCGACTCGCACGTTGGCTCGTTGTTGGTCGTTCTTACATCGTAGCATATGGCCAACAGGATGCTGATAAGTCCACAGTCGATCTCGGTCTGTCGCAGGCTGTCGAAAGGCTGTTGTTGCTCAGACCCCTGCTGCCGGCTAATGTTGTGCAGGAGATGCGCCTGCTCCTGCGTCATGGAAGTCTCAAATATTTTGGGCTTGTAGCGCAGAGGATTCTGGTGGCCGGACGGAACCTGTAACTCCACAAAGTTCATTTTGTACTGCTCGCGCGAAAAACGCTTCATCTCGTCCACCAGGCGCTCCTGGCGTCGCTGGATGGGACTGGTGCGCTGCGGCTCGGCTACGCGACAGGTGGCCCTGTCCAGCTGCGGAAAAACATTTGCATTAAGTATACTAGGAACTGAACACACAAACACTGTAGCTTACCTCACTGGTGTTTAGCGGATTGTTGTATTTGCTGGCGAAACCATAGCCGAAGTGGTTTGTTAGCTTATAAATGCGCTCGTGGCCGTCGAGCTGCAATTGGCACTGATCGGTGATGCGTTTGAGTTTCCATTCCTGGACCATCGGCTCTTTGTCCGACATCCGGGCGCTACTGACATCGGCCAGAGTTGGCATATGGAGGAATGCGGCGATGTACTCCTTGCGCACGCTCTTTGGCTTGGCCGTATCGCCGCCGCCTGTTCCCTGCTGGGTGCCCGCTGTGACAGGCAGGCAGCGCAGGCAGATCTTGTAGTGGTGCTCTGTCGTGTTGTACTTTATCGTCAGCGTCTTCAGCTCACGCAAGTCAAAGGAGCGGCGACTGTGGAATCTATTGCAAGGGGAAGTATGTTGTGTGAAATGCGTTTGGATATCGCTGAAGTTTCGCTCGTGTGGGAGTGCCCAACTGGAGGCAGTGACTCACTTGTATAGCTTGACGTCTGCGTAAAAGTACAGATCGTGTGCGTCCACGAATATATCGCAGTTTCTTATGCGATCCACATGCAGAGCCTCTGCTCCTGACCCCTCTCCAGGCCCCTTGTCATAACTCTCTGCTCCAGAGGAAGAGGAAGCAGCAGCTGTTGTTGGCTGGGACGATTTTAATGGCTGATCCCGGGCAGGCGGGCGAGGGATAAATAAGGTGCAAGCGTTCTCCAGATAACTGTGCGTAATCTGTCCATTCAACATCTTACAAATTTATTACGTGCTTTCGATTCTGCTAACTACTGCTTTTAAGTGTAATTTTATTTATTTTAATGACCAGTGTGACCGTATGCTCGAAACTAAAAAGTCACAGCCAGGTCGCATCGATGTGTTTGTCAAGTAAGCACCGGGGAAAACTATTTGGAATTTGGAAAAATTCCAGTACAAGGTATTAAAATTTTAGTCAGAAGCTTAAAACTTAGTGAAGGAGTCATTTCCGACCCTATAAATAATATAAATTCTTGATCAGCATCAACTGCCGAGTCGATCTAATCATATCTGGTCAAAAAATAAATTTTCGAAATTTTTTCAAAATTTTATAAGGGTTTACATCGTTAAGATATTCAAAAATTGGCAAAAATGTTAATTTGTCTAAATTATAAATTGAGAATGGAGATTTATTAATCTAACAAAAACTAACACAGATTAGCTTTCCGAATTGAAATTAATGCATATTTGGCTTAGTTATGTCATTTTTATACTTTGATTTGACTAATTATTAAATAAAAATACATCTATACATTAAAAAAAAAAGCTGGAAAGACTAAGGGGACAAATTTAAAAATTACCAATTTAAATAAAAATTACCAAGACACTTTTGATGTGAAGATACATCACGTTTTCTTTAAAGACACGTTTGCAATTTAAGGTTGACATTAAATTGGACCAATTAACGTCTGTCACTTCCCGCTTTTGGGAAAATATCTTAATTATAATGGTTGACGTTTAAATTGAATTCAACCAGTCAACGCCTTCTCAATTTTATTATTGTCATAGGTAGCAGTTGCATCACTACACACAGAAAATTTTACGATATAATGTCACATCTGAGCTTACCTATACAACCATTTAACAAAAAAAAAGGAACATATACCTCTTAAAGTATATTATAGTTTGCATTGGCCGATTCGTCAGGATGTGAACGGGGAGGGATTCCCGCTAAGCGGATAAACAAAATAATATAAAGGGAACCGCTTCCAACCGGTGACACGCGTCACTCAAACACCGCCCATGCTCAGATCCAGCCTGATCAAACCCCATTATCTATCCAAATTGCTGTCCGTTGGAGGCTGTACTGGTGCTTCATCATTATCATCTCGTTGACCCACCATTGTCATCCCGCTGATACCCATATAAACAAGTGCACTTTATGTTTACTTGGATGTTTTTAATACACTTTCATCCGTGATTGTGTGTGGGTTGAGGTGAGTGATACGATTCCTATCCACATATATATTCCGTATAGGTGTATCTGTGCTGGTTTTCTATTGTTCATGAGCGGGGCTTCGAGCTCTCCCGTATATAAAGGTGATCAATCTCGCAGTCTAAAATTCAGTTCAGTTCTAACGCGACTCGAAGCCGGTTTTTTGCTTTTTTTCATTTTTGAATTCGTGGAAATTTTGATTGCTATTCAAAATGCGTTTCGCTCTGTTTGGTTTTCTAGGTAAATACCCTTTCAGGTTCTAGCACCTACAAAATACAAGCAAAATAGTACAAAAGGGTGTATTTTATAGATTAGAGTTCACAGAGAACGAACAAAAGTTGATTGAATTTGTTAAAAGCAAAATAAAGTATATAAAGAAGTAAAATAATTATAAATAATAAATTTTCCTTATTTTAATGTCATCAGATAGATTCTACACGGTTTTAAAGTTGTCATTTTGAATGATCTCATTGTCATACATACGTAATTAATTATTATTCCAAAACAATATTTGAATTATCATTTAAATGCACCAAGCATTAATAATTTCATAAAATCTCAACGTTTTCCAGCCTTGTGCTTGTTGGCCTTTGTCCTAGCGTCTCCAGCAAAGGACAACAAGAAACCGGCAGCAAATGCATGCCAGAAAGACTGTGGGGAAGTCTACGAGCCGGTCTGTGCCAGAGCCAAAAACAGCAGCAAGGAGCGACTCATCACCTTTGGCAGCCCGTGTGTGATGGCCAACTACAACTGCCAGCATGCCGACGATCGTGAGTTTTTTTTAATATTTATTATACAATTTTATTTAATGTTATATAAATCCTTGCATTGCAGCATTCGAGCAGAAGGCCAAGGGCGAGTGCGGTGGCGGAGTAAGTGTTCGCCTCTCTTAAGAACGAGAGATCAGACCGTATAAGCTTATATTCATTATTGAACATCTTCCACAAAATGGCCCAATAAAATATTCACATGGTTTTTATTCCAACGGGAACGTTTTATTTATTTTTTCGATGAAGGAAGCTTATAGTTTGCATAACAGAACAGATAATTTAATTTCGCTCTTGGGACTAGATATCTCCCCTTTAAAATACACACACGTGGACATGCATTCGCACTAGATCAGTTCCAACTATCCGTTTCAGTTTAAATCAATGTCGTATCCTATGTACTCGCTATGCACTTATAAATCACGCGGTCAATCTGAAAAGGAAATCAATTAATAATCAGTTCATAAAGATGCTTGAAGCTCCCGTGAAATGGGTTGAAAGAAACCTAATAATAGTAAATGAATTACAAACTAAGCTTAAGGCTTCATTTAACATATTATTTCACCTGTAAGGTAACAATAAATATAGTTTCTTTGACCCAGCACTCACTATGTTCACAGCCCATTTACTCACCACTCACAGAGCTCTAGCGAATAATCGCATACTACGACTTGATGCCAAGTGTTCTATAGTATATGGTATTGTATTGTATTGTGTAGATTATAGTTTTTTATTAGTCGCTCCACCACATTCACAGGTTCCGATTTCACACACAAACACATCGCTTAGTTAGCCTTCTTCTGCTGCTGCTTGACCTTGTAATCTGCCAAAGCGGCCTTGATGGCGTCCTCGGCCAGCATCGAGCAGTGCAGCTTCACGGGCGGCAGACGCAGCTCCTTGGCAATGTCCGTGTTCTTTAGCTTGCCCGCCTCATCGATGGACTTTCCTTTGACCCACTCGGTGGCCAGAGAACTGCTGGCGATAGCCGAGCCGCAACCAAAGGTCTTAAACTTGGCGTCTACGATCTTGCCATTCTCGTCCACTTTAATCTGCAGTTTCATCACATCGCCGCAGGCGGGAGCTCCAACCAGTCCAGTGCCCACTGTGGCATCCTTCTTGTCTAGCGATCCCACGTTGCGCGGGTTTTCGTAGTGTTCAACGACCTGTCAACGACAGAAAGAATAACAACAAAAGGCGGTAAGTCATGGGAGATTCCTTATCTGCCTTATCGCTTTGCGTGCTGCCTGAAACGCTGTCTATGAAAACGACAACAAAGTGGGGTCTTAAAAATGCAGTATACGGCTTCTAGATATTACGAAAGAGATATCCGCGCGGCAATCGGAAATCGGACGAAATACTCACATTCTCATGGTATAGGGCCACCGGCACGCTCTGCACACGCTTCAGCTGCGAGCGCAGCAGTCGGGATGAGTTGCGGACCAACGACATATTTAGTTGCTAATTGTACTTTAAATAAATCAATACAGCTTGTTGGGTATTGTTGTGAAATTCGAAGCGAAAGGAAAACAAGAACTACTGCGCGTTTGGCAACAGCTGACTGAAAATAACAGTGTGGCCGCGTTTTGAGTTGATATAAAACCTAAACGTATCGATAGGTTCCATCTAACTAGAAAATGTCCAATTGCTGCCTATGTGGCATTGGCACATTTTTAAGTCTCGAGCGATTTTCAGAGAAAAATCCATTTGATGATCGCACAATTTTTCAATGCTGCCAGAATCTACATTATAAACACAGATATCGATAAGAAGCTATCGATAGTTGATCAGTGCGTTACCTGGATGGTGCTATCGTTACTTTCCCAGCTCTAGGTTAAATATTTGTCGAATTCATGTTGCCAACTTTGTTTTGTTTTGATCAGACTTTGAGTTCCTAAAGTGACTATATAAATAAACCGATAGCGATAAGAAACTATTGATAGTGGCAGTGAGATGGTGCTATCGTTAGTTTCCCAGCTCTAGGTAAAATATTTGTCGAATTCATTTTGCCAACATTGTTTTGTTTCGAGCAGACTTTGAGTTTCTAACGTGAATATACCAATAAACCGATTCTGTCAACATCCCAATCATGAGCGCTCGGAAACGAAGCGGCAGAGGCTCCACCAGCCGCCCAAGGTTAGATTTCACGATTTTATTCCTAAATTTAATTGTTAATTGAATTTTTATGGCATTTTGTGTGACCTGCTGCTTTTAAAAGAAATCCCTTTGCTGATCGCACAATTTTTCAATGCTGCCAGATCCTACCACTTTGAAAACAGCGATAGCGATGAGAAACTATCGATAGTGTCTGAGTGCGATACCTAGGTGATGCTATCGTTAGTTTCCCAGTTCTAGGTTAAATATTTGTCCAATTCATTTTGCAAACTTTTTTTTTTTGAGCAGACATTGGTTTTTAAAATGAATGTAACAATAATCCAATACTGTAAACATCCCAATCATGAGCGCTCGGAAACGAAATGGAAGAAGCTCCACCAGCAGCCCAAGGTTAGATTTCACGAATTAATTCCTAAATTTAAATGTTAATTTAATTTGTTTGGCATTTTGTGTGACCAGCTGCTTTAAAAAAAAATCCCTGTGCTGATCGCACAATTTTTCAATGCTGCCAGATCCTACCACTTTGAAAATAGCGATAGCAATAAGAAACTATCGATAGTGTCTGAGTGCGATACCTAGGTGATGCTATCGTTAGTTTCCCAGTTCTAGGTTAAATATTTGTCCAATTCATTTTGCCAACTTTTTTTTTTGAGCAGACATTGGTTTTTAAAATGAATGTATCAATAATCCAATACTGTAAACATCCCAATCATGAGCGCTCGGAAACGAAGTGGAAGAAGCTCCACCAGCAGCCCAAGGTTAGATTTCACGAATTAATTCCTAAATTTAAATGTTAATTTAATTTGTTTGGCATTTTGTGTGACTAGCTGCTTTAAATAAAAATCCCTGTTCTGATCGCACAATTTTCAATGCTGCCAGATCCTACCACTTTGAAAACAGCGATAGCAATAAGAAACTATCGATAGTGTCTGAGTGCGATACCTAGGTGATGCTATCGTTAGTTTCCCAGTTCTAGGTTAAATATTTGTCCAATTCATTTTGCAAACTTTTTTTTTTGAGCAGACATTGGTTTTTAAAATGAATGTAACAATAATCCAATACTGTAAACATCCCAATCATGAGCGCTCGGAAACGAAATGGAAGAAGCTCCACCAGCAGCCCAAGGTTAGATTTCACGAATTAATTCCTAAATTTAATTGTTAATTTAATTTGTTTGTCATTTTGTGTGACCAGCTGCTTTTAAGAGAAAAATCTATGCTGATCGCACATTTTTCAATGCTGCCAGACTACCACTTTCAAAACAGCGATAGCGCTAAGAAACTATCGATAGTGTCTGAGTGCGATACCTAGATGATGCTATCGTTAGTTTCCCAGCTCTAAGTTAAATAGGTGTTCAATTCATTTTGCCAACTTTTTGAGCAGACATTTGGTTTCTAATGTGAATATATCAATAATCCAATACTGTAAACATCCCAATCATGACCACGCAGAAACGAAACGGCAGAGGCTCCAACAAGTGGCCCAACGAAAAGGTATGTGTGTGAGCCCACGTGGTGTTACATTTCATGATTTTTTGCCTAAATATAACTGTTGATTGAATTTAGATGGTATTTTGTGTGACCAGTCCCTTTAAAGAAAAAAATCCATTTGCTTATCGCACAATTTTTCAATGCTGCCAGGTTCTACCACATTAAAATAACGATGTCGATAAGAAACTATCGATAGTGGCACAGTGCGATACCTGAATGGTGCTATCGTTAGTTTCCCAGCTCTAGGTTAAATATTTGTCCAATTCATTTTGCCAACTTTCTTGTTTTATTTTGAGCAGACTATGAGTTTTGAAGTAAATATATAAATAAACCAATACTGTCAACATCGCAATCATGACCTCACGGAAGCGAAGCGGCAGCGGCTCCACCAAGAGGCCAAAGGAGAAGGTGTGTTTGTGAGCACATGAGGTGCTAAATTTCACGATTTTTTTTTACCGAAATTGAATTGTTAATTGGATTTTTATGGCAGGTTGTCTATATATACGAGCTCCTGTGTCGCGGTGAGGACCCCAGCAGCGAGAGCCCGGAGTTCTGGAACGAGTTTTTTCTACTGCAGCCGAATTTTGAGGTTCTGGAAAACGAAATTGGGAAGCTTAACAACGAACAGCTGCAGGTGGTCAAGCCGAATCTGAACACACTCTTCCAGAGATGCATCGAAATGCTGGACACGGGTATATCAGATGATCGCAGTATATATATACCAAAATCCACCTATATTCTCTAATTTCCCCCAGAAGATCATCCCAAGCGCCTGTGCAACAGCCTGCAGACTCTGTGCTCTCTCTTCTACGGGATCTTCAAAAAATCCAACTCTGACCCCTCGATAAACATCCTCAATGAAATATTTGGCCATGAAAAAATGGACGAGTGGCTGAAGCTTCTGGTGCAGTACTGCAATCGCATTTTGCTAGGCGATGTCCCGGAGAATGCCCGTTTTATGTGCCTGAAACTGCTGCAAGTCTTGGTCACGGGAACAGACAACGTCAACCAGAACTCGCTCTTCGAGCATCTGATGATGCACAGTATGTTCGACGCCTTCGTCCGGCTCCTCAGCGATCCCACGTTCCGCACCCAGCATGGCCATGACATTGTCATCCTACTGACCATCTTGGTGAACTACCGCAAGCACGAGGCGACCAATCCATACGTAGTGCAGCTCTCCATACTGGCGGATGAGCTGGCTCTGAATGGGTAAGTAGGTGCTGACGTCTGTATTGTAGATAGCTCGCAACGATAATAAAACTTTATCATAATTCTAGCTACGGGCAAATGATATCGCAGTCACTCATCGACTTCTGTCGCCAGTACATCCAGAGCCTCAACAATGTGCAGTCCTCCTCCTGGTTCTCCTCTCTCTCGAATATCGTGGGAAACATGTTTGTGTCGGACGAGGGATGTGAACGGGTGCAGCAGATCAAGGCCAACAATGGACTTCTACTGGCCCTGTATGAAGCTGTGCATCTGAACAGGAACTTTATTACTACTTTGGCACACACGCAGGCCGAGTCCAGTGCTCCACCATCACCCAGTAACACCTTGAGCTTGGCTCAACCCGTTCCAGACCTATCCAATGCCCCGATTATCGACATCACGCAGTACCCGACGAATTTGTTGGTGGCAGTTTTTCAGTACTGCTCCATTGTGATGCAGGACAATAAGAACGAGTCAAGCATTGCGAACCTGAAGCTGTGCTTCCTCATCCTCACCTGCATTTCGGAGGATCAGTATGCCAACTCGATGATGCACGACAGCAACCTCACATTCAAGGTGATGCTACATCGGGCGCAGATGCGACATCGCAAATTAAATGTGGATCGAGTCGGCAAGTCGCAGCCATTGGCTGCCACTCTGCTGGACCTCCTGGTGGAGTTTATAGTCTCCCACTTGATGAAAAAATTTCCCATGGAACTGTATCTGCTGTGCATCGGTGTTATTCATCGAATTCTGTGCTACCAGAAACGCTGTCGCGTGCGCCTCAATTACCCGTGGAAGGAGCTCTGGTCAGCGCTAATTGGGCTGCTCCGTTTCTTAGTGAACCAGGAGCAGACCCTGGTTAAGAAGTGCAACATATTTCATCTGTCGCTTCAAGTGGTTAATATATTTAACCTGTTCATCACGTACGGCGACACATTTCTGGCCACCACGAATAGCTACGATGAGCTCTACTACGAGTTAAACCGCGAAGAGAAGGTCTTTACGGAAATTCATGCAATGGGTAAGAAAAATAGACTTGAAAATCTTAAAAAACTTTAATTTTTCTCTATTTGATCTATAGTACTTCGCTATACAACGATGCCCGAGTGCGAGTACAAGGACGATGTGATCAAGCTGCTGAACGCTTTGGTAAATATCCTGGCCATCGTTAAGCATTTCCAGAACAAGATTAAGGAGTGGCTGGCCGAGCAAGGCTTATCCACACCCACAGAGGATCAAATACTCGATGTGGTGCGAAAAAACTATGATCTAACCCTGAAGCTGCAGGATTCCCTGGATCAGTACGAGCGTTATGCGGAGACGCCGCTGCATACCAACTTCTTCAAGCTGATGGTGCGCGATGTAGTCAACGATACGCGCAAGCACATATACGGATATGTGAAGGAGGCTGTATCGGTTATACCAGATCAGGAGGTGCTCCTCACCGCCTCGATTACCTCCGGCTCGGTGGGAACACCAGGACCAGCACCAGCAGCAGCAGCAGTGACTACTCCAACAGCTACGCCGGCCACATAGGGAATTGACCTCAACAGACTATTGTCAGACTGTTTAATTGTTTCCTTTGCTTAGTTATATTCTTGTATTTTAATTAATCAAATCTCTAGAAGCGTACACTCGATGTAATCTGTAAGATTTAAAGTGCTTTGCGAGCCTTTGTTAGCTTCCATAGTGAAGCAATGGACATGGAAACATGCATGTATATTCTGTGCAAGTTTTTTTTACATACGTATACA